CGACAAAGGTCCTATTTCGAATAGCCCTTTGTTTGGTCTTATACGTAGAACTAGTTACAGAGTAAAATTTCTGTTGATAATTATTAATAATCTAAAATATAATACATATATATAACTATCAAGTCGTCTTACAATATGTAGAACAAACGAAGTATCTATAAATTCATCACAAAGTTGTAGTATTTGTAATAAGAAATTAAAAAAATTAAACGTCTGAAATTCGTCAAGTATGCAGGAACCTAGGAACCTATGCGACTGTTTTTCAAGCGGAACAACATCTAAGTTGGTAGCAAATTGCCAAAAACGACTCTCCTGGATTAAAAGACTCAATAAATTGTCTCTGGTCTTGATTCCTGGCCACACCGTCCAGGAAGGCAATGAGGCTGCTGACTCCCTTGCAAAGGATGGTGCTGCAAGCAACTTCATCGGACCAGAACCTGTCATTGGTATCGCTTTAGGCTTTGCCTGAAGCGAGGTGGAGGGACGAGGGACTTTTGCCCTAACCTAACTCAACACAGCTCATCATTTTATGAAAAAGCCCCTTTTGTAGAGGTATAGAGTTTTTCAATTACCGTCTCGCAATCCTGAGCGATCAACGGAACTCCTCCAAATCAAAATTGAAACGATATTTGCAAGATAAATGTTACTAAAGTACCAAAGGATTTCTTGATGCAAAATGAAAATGTGTTTTCTCATATGTATGAATATAAATTGTATATATGTTTTATGTAGATGTGTACAAATCTAATGAATACTGATATTTTGATATTGTTGATCTTAAATCTGTCTACCATGGTTTTTATTTGTGACGTAGCCAATATCATTCATTTATTTATTTTTATTAAATACTGTTCTACAGGTTACACCCAACTACAGACCTGGGATATAAGTCAAATCACAATATAATACAATTAAATAAGTTATAAGATAAAAACAATACATATAGAATTAGCTGAAGTAAAAAGACCTAATCTCAGAGATGGAACTTTGAAAAATGTAGAGCTGTTAACTTGCAGAATTGCATTTGACACACATATGATGAACGTTTCAGAATATTTGTACGTGGTGTTGGCAGATAAAAAGGATCAACCACTCTAGAGGTTGGTCTAGGTACATTGAAATTGAGTTTTTACAAAATATGTCGGTCAAAAATTGAATTATTCATCAGTTTGAAGACAAAAATTGTGGAGTGACAATCACGACGGCAACTCAAGCTATTTATAGTGTGTCTAGCTAACAATGCATCATGGTAACCTGCAGCACCACATCATCTGAAGATCTTGATATAAAACAATAAAAACAACAATAAAAATTAATTGGCGCTCCGGGGCGACTTCATTGATTCCAGTGGCGCATTTGCTTTTTCAACTGCAGGAAAATCCGGAAAACCTGCAGCACCACATCAAATAAAATATTTATTATCAATAACAGTTATTATTCGTTGATTATTATTAAAATGATCATTAAAGTAATTGAAAAAAGTAAAACTGGGTTCTAAATAATGAGGTTAATTTCAGAGGTTTTCGAAATCTTTCAAGTGTATGAATTCAGGAGTAAAAAGGACACCGAATTAAAGAAAAAAAAAAGAATGTCAGAAGTGGGATTCGAACCCACGCCCACAGAGTGGACTGCGACCTGAACGCAGCGCCTTAGACCGCTCGGCCATCCTGACTTGTGAAAATTTAGGCTAGAATGACAGTCCTGAACTACAGCTTCATTGAAACAATGATAAATGATATTTAATAAATCAAATATTATTCACGTCTTGAAAAGAATAATTCTATTTGACTGTGACTCATCAAAACAAATAAGTATCGTACCTGCAAACAGTCAGACATCACATTACTTGAAATTATCTCAAAAAACAGGAACCACAGTTAGGCAGCCAGAAAAACATTGGACATAATATGTGGTTTTCTATAATTTAAAATTATCAATACATATAACTCAAGAAATTTTTTATCACCCCTTAAAGTATAACTTTATAGTTTTTTCCTCCAAAATATACGTATAGAATGAATTATTTCTCAAGACCTGGTTGTTGACATACTTTGTCTTTTTTGTTTATGAATTTTGCTGTATATAGGTACAGTTTTGTGAATACAGTTCGAACATTCATACCAATTAATGTAATTTTTTTAGAAGTACCTAGTACTCTAAACATGAACAGTAAAATAAATTGTGGTTGTGTAACGTATATTTTAGATTTTACGAATCACCACAAAAAATCTGAGTACGTCATTTAGGGTAAACTAGCGGGTCATTCTGAGGGGCCATGTTTGGATGTCCGCGGGTTGCCGATACGTCAATTATACCAATTGGTAGAAGAGCAGACACGATTCCTTAGAAGAGTTCACTAGATCACCTGATATGATGCCTCTAGATCTTTTTGAGGGGATACGTGACTTCGAAGTGTACCATACACACCGCAGCACTTTCCGAACTTCTGCAAAGCAAAAGAGGTGCTTGCAACAAAAGTTTACCACAGTAACATTTCATAAACAGGAGTTTTATTTGTGAAAAATCTTCATTATTGTCAGAACATTGTTTGAACATTCTTTGAAACGAACTGAGTTTCGAGAAAATTTTTTCTTGAAATTATTATACTTAACGTTTATTTGCAGATCCTTAAAACAGCTCAATGGTTTCAAATCTACCAAATATAGTTCTTATTCCGGTGTTCCACAAGGGTCAAATCTGGAACCGTTGCTCTTCAATATCTAAAACTATAATGCCTCGTTGAGAACATAGATGATTGTGTGAACCTCTCAGCAAACGTAGGACGGGTTGTGGAATGGTGTTATCGAAATAACTTGTCGCTAAACCCGTATAAATGTAAGGTCATGTCCTACAGTTTGAAAACGAACATCTTGATCTGTGATTATTCAATAGAAAACGTTTCCCTGGTGAGACCAGAAACATTTACTGATCTTGACGTCACATTTGACACTCTACTATCATTTAATAGGCATATCGATAATGTTGTAACCTCTTCCCGTCGTTTGTACGGATTAATTGGACGTAACAGTAGTGATTTCGAAGAAACTTCGACCTAAAAACTTTATTTTATGCTTTCATAAGATCAAAGTCAGAGTACGCGTCAGTTGTGTGTAGCCCCTTTTATCAATATCATATTGATAAAATAGAAGCAATTCAATGACGATTTTTAAAACTGCTAAGCCTAAAAACCAATGGCATTCATCCTCCAATAGGAACAACTCACTCTGAATTGCTACAAAACCATAACTTTTTCAGTCTCGAAAAAAGGCGTGAATATTATAATGTTGTACTAACCTATGAAATTATCAAAAGCATCGTTGACTGCCCAACATTACTGGACAAGTTTAATATTTGCATTCCTAAAATCTGTTCCAGATACTTTCTATATAAAAACATCTCGCACAAATGTTCTGGAGAATTCTCCAATCCATACCATGGGCAAAGTGACAAACTCTGTTAGCGATAATAAGATATATTTAATTGTTTTGTCACCTATAATAAATATAAAATTGTAATCTTTATAGTCACTTGTTTGTATTGTTTGTAGTGTTTGTAGACTTTACAGTCACTTGTTTGTGATGTATTTATTATACTCTATTATTTCCTGCTCTGAAATTGTGCCATGTCCTGTAGAGTATTGTATTACGAATAAATAAATATAAAACTGATAATAAATTGGGAACGGCTCATCCTGAAAATAAAAGTGTTGGATAGAAAATTGAAATACCTTTCGAATGTGGTACTACAAGGTACCTCTTTCCATTTAAAAAAAAAGTTGGTAGCGACCTCTCAGCGACGAGTGATGATACACGATTGTCTCTCTTACCAAAAAGTATTTAAAATGATACCTCATTGAGTGAATTGTATCCAACTTCATTACTCTTCATTACTTAACACGCTCCATCCACTACCATTCTGTCACACTCCAAACTCAAAAGTTCACCGCCTAGCTGTTGTCGGGGAAGTACAATCGTGGAATGATTTTAACCGAAGTTAAGAATTTTTCATGATTCGATGAAACGTGTTTAGGGAAAAGTCAATATGTCTGAAATGAGTCCTAGATCGATTGGGTGTGTAAAGAAAAAATGGGCTAATGAAAAAAGACAGACATTTTTCACAAATACAGAGATAACATACCATATTTCCAATGACAGAAACACTCTGAAACAAGAGTCACCTTTTGTGGGTTTCACTATGGAGCTTTCTAGGAATTCTCACTTTCTACAATCTGAAAAAGTGAGAATTGTAAATGGGTGAATTAAATATAGTTTTCACAAAAGAATGCGATTTTTATCAGTAACTTCTGTTCTATAACTTTCTCTGTAAAAAAGCTTACAATTACACAGAAATAAAATGTCTATCTCAGGCACTTTTAATGATCTTGGAAGTTGTTTATAAGATAATTTGATTGTTTTCAACACAATCTTTGATGCAAATTATGATTTCAAAAGTAGAACGACAAGATAATAACTATGTTGAAAGATTTTGAAAGCTCTACAGAAGACGTTAATCAACAGATTAAAATCGAACCAATAACGACAGGAAGAATTTAACATGTGTGAATTTGAAACGTCCAGTGAAGAAACAGACAAAGACAAGCAAAATTGTTGACTAGACCATCGCCAAAGAAAGCTGAACAGATATTATAATTGTGTAAGATCTGAGTAATGGTATTTATTAAAAGAATCTGCAGACTAGACACCATCTCAGTAAAATTGGCTGATCGCACAGTGAAAAATATAACTTCGATATACGTGGATGGTCTAAAAAGTTTCCGACCTAACGAAGATACAAGACATTTTCTCCAACAAAGTCTCCTTTTAACTCTACACATTTCTCCCATCTCTGTAACCCGTCTCTGCAAAATAATTGTTCACGAAAGCGATTGTCCCTTCATTCGACAAAAATCTTCGTCCTTCCAGCCTAATTTTTGGATGAGGGAACAAAAAGAAGTCGCTTGGGGCTAGATCTGGTGAGCAAGGCGGATGGTCAAGCAGTTCAAACCGTAACTCGTGGATTTTCGTCATGACGGTGAGACGGTGCGTTGTCTTGGTAAAACAGGATTTTCTTTTTCTAGAAATGTGGCCATTTTTCCGCAAGTTCTGCTTTTAGCTTGTCAAGTAATGATGCGTAGTATGTTCCTGTAATGATTTTTCCTTTCTGAAGATAATCGAATAGAATAACTCCATGACTATCCCAAGAAACAGTCGCCATTACTTTTCCAGCCGAAAAAAAGTTTTATTTCTTTTGAAGCCGGTTTCCCCTTTGCAGTTCACTGTTTGCACTGTATATTTGTTTCCGGCGTATAATGGTGTATCCAAGTTTCATCCACAGTAATTAATCGGGGCCAAGACTCGGATTTAGCGCGCCTAAACTGCGCCAATAGAGCGTTGGAACGTTCATTCGAACACAATTTTGGACTAACAGGAGCAAACGCGGCACCCAACGCGCGAACAGCTTTCTCATGCAGAAGTAATTATTAGTACCCCTATACTGAGATGCATGTTTTGACCAGAACTGGTAAGAATATTAGGTGTACCTAACATTAACCATTAGCTTCAATTAATTTACATCAAAAAGTATATAATCTAATAGTAAAACGTAGATGGTAATAAAGTTGTGTTTAGTAAATGCTGAATTTTTAATTCTCATCGCAGAAAATGTACAGATAGCCGTCCTTTTTTGCTACTTCTTCCGTAAAAAGTTGCTGTTTGCAAAAAATTGGTTCGCAAATTTGAACGATGTGGTAGTATTGTGCATACAGTTATACCTGTTGGGCTGTTTAGTGATTACTTTGATAAGTGTATAAAAGTGTAACAATGGTCAACATTCTTCAAGAAGAAAGAATTGAATTAATTTTAATTTATGGAGAAGATGGAAAATGCGCACGAAGGGAGGCAATTCTTTGTAACGAAAGACATTCAAACTGTAACATAAGTCATCGGCATGTGCTTGATTTGGTGAATAAGTTTTACGAAACTGGTTCAGTGACAAATAAACAAAAATAACCCCAGAGTACTAAATGAGGCAGCTCAAATGGAAGTTTTGGGAATATTTGCTACAGAGCCCACGAGCTCCTTACGATCAATATCAGAACAGACGGAAATGTGTAAAAAAAGCATTGAAAATACATACACTGCAAAAAATGTGAGTAAAATTTCGTGATGCATTCTGTAAATTTCACGGTATATATTAAGGAATCATTATTTTTCGTGATGTTTAAGGCATAAATTTTAAAGCCCAGTATTATTTCTATTTTGATATGGTAAGTTTACATATGCTATGTACTTTTCACAAATTATTCTTCAATTTTGCATGTTCTATTTGGTAAAAATATTGATTCGATATTTATCCTGGAAAAAGTCATAGTACTTTACTAAGTTTCCGTTTATAATAGTGTATTATGTTAACACACTTTATTAGTTCTGTAGTAGTACATTGTAAATAACCAGTAAATATTTTGTAATTATTTATTTCCAACATCAATACAGGAATTTTCAACGCTTGAATTCTTCAACGTAAAAATATAAATCTTAATAAAAGTCATTACTAATCGTGTAATATTGAAGAATTTGTTGTGGAGAATTCCATAATAAACTCGGAAAAAAGTCGTTATTCTAGTGCGCGCGCATCCCCCATTTGCCAGGCCACACTCGATTTTTGATTATAATGGTCAGCAGTTACGTTGCGGTTGTTGCGTATAGGTTAGAATTTAAGAATTTATCATAAAGTTTGTTGCTAGTTATTGATTTCATCGAATGTCTCAGTAAGTACATATATTTTGTTTATATGAAAACAACAAAGATGTTCAAATGTAATTTGTGTACATTCCATTGTCACACTATCAGAAAATATGATATTCACTATTATGTTCATAGAAATTGGCCAAGTGTTGAATTTATTTGTCGCCGAAATGGCTGTGGCGTCATTTTAAAATCGTATACAGGTTACAGGCAACATGTATTCAGGTCACATAATTATAAGAAAAGTAGTAGTGTTGGAATTCGAGAGGGAAATTCACACAATAATAATAATTGTAATGTTGCTGGTTGTAATTTTGCTACATTGAACAAAAAACATTTATTTCTCCATTTATACAGTCATTTCAAAGAACCTAATGTTAGAGTAAGCTGTCCTCTTTCTGTAATATGTAATATAAATACGATTTTTTCTAATATCAGAAGCTTCAGAT